GGCTTCCGTGCAGCCAACGGCACAGTGCTCTGGCTCTGGCTCTTCATCTGTAAATTAAAGGTGTAGATGGCCTTAAAAAAAAAACAGCTTTATTGAGATATAATTAACAATTTACCTAAAGTATGCCATTCAGTGCAATGGTTCCCAGCGTATTCAGTATGCAACCATTACCATAATTTTTAGAACATCTTCCTTAATCCAAAAAGCAACGCTGTCTTACTACCACTTACTCTCTATTTCCCCCACTTTCCAACCCTAAGCAATCTACTTTCTGTCTCTATGGATTTGCCTCTTCTGATGAAATTGTGTATTTATACTTTTAACACTCAAGAGGTTGGGGTGAAAAGCACGGTGTGCCCTGCGAGTGTGCCCGTTCTTCTTTCCACCTCTGAGATCTGAGCCCTGCTTTGCTTGAGAACAGTCGGAGACACGTGGTTTCCATGGGAAGCTGAGGGCGGGTTTTTACATAAATGAAACAGCACTTGGACATTCCCCAGGATCTGGTCTGGATTTGGTAGCACAGATTTCTGGGAAACTTTTGAAAAGCATCTGAAACTCATTTTATTTTTTTTCATGTAGTGCTATATAGACGGTGGACTTGGTTGACTTGGCTGATTACGAATGAAATATCCTAGTTCATGATCACACCATAAAAGGAAGTGTACTAAATTAAATAAAGAACTATTTAAATTTGGATGAATCTAAGGCTTAGTGTCAACATCAATATTTTAATGTAAAGACCTCCAAATAAAAATGTGAACCTTCACAATCACCCTAGGATTTACAGAAGGCCTGGTGTGGGATAGCACTTGAGAGCTTATACTGGTTTCCTGTAGGTTTTCTTATTCCTCCAATACCCGCTACAATCTGTACCCTAGAAGTTCAAAGGATTCTGTTCTTTTGCTAAGATACTGCATCTTCCTCAGTGAAAGTGCCTGTTTTGGTCCTCTGGAGTGGTTGCTAGGGAGCATACTAAGGGAAATCTTCTTTTTGGGGTGATAGTTTAAGAATACTACTAGTAATCAATCACTAAGCAGTCCTAGTCAGGGCACATGGACTACATTATGTTTCCCATGCATGTGTGGCTTTACAGTTTATGAAACATTTTCACATAATCGTCCTCATTCAGGCTTTACCCAGTGTTACCCGTTGGGCAGGGTCTCTATTCCTTGGAGTCAGAACGCTTGGGTTTGAGTCGGGCATCACCACTTCGCAGCTGGGTGCTTTTGGGCCAAGTTATTTCAACTCTCCCTGCCTTGATTTCCTTATTGGTAGAAGACAGAGATGATCATAGTACACTGCTTCCTAGGGATGTGATGAAGGTTCAGTGAGCAGGTAAAGACGCTAGAACTGTGCCCGGAATACAGTAAACAGATGTGCTGTGCTTATTTCCACTATACTTATTGCTGTTGTGGTTTTAGAAATGGGGAAACCAAGGCTTGGCAAGGTTAAAGGGTTTAAAGTGGCAAGGTTGGGAGCTGAACCCCGGCCCCCAGCTCACCATATCAGTGGCTGTAAAATTATCTGCCTGTAAAAACTGGTGTTTAACAAACAGATTAAGATATTGTGTAGCTAAAACAGTCGTGGTTTTCCTAATTGGCAGGAGGACGTTAGTAGATTTTTCTGTCTTAAACTTTGGGGATCGGTCACTGCTTGTCTAACAGCACTTGGTGGTGCTCGTAACCAAGGCACAGCATTCACAGAAATATTAGTGCAGAAAACTCAGACCTGACTGACTACACTTGGTTCAACACGTTCTGTTTTCATGAGCACCCGACCTTGTGATTTAATTGCCTCCATGCATCACAGGCACACTCTGCCGGTGCACCTATCCTAGGTCATGGGAAGGGACTGGACAGGACCAGTAATTTGCAGTGTCCCACAAAGAGCACATTGTTCAACAGAGAACCCCGTGCCTTTTGGTCCCAGCCCCAAAGAAGCCCAGTCATCTCTCCCCAGCCTCAAATTCTAACATATGCAGACTTATTGCAACCATGTGAGTTTTAGATTAAGGATATATGTTCTCGGTTATTCTTATAGGTGATAGTTAGCAAAGAGGAAACCAGGAAGCTGGGAAATAAGGAAGAGAAGAAAGATGAGGTGAAGGAGACATGCTGTTGACATGCAGCTGAAAGGAACCGAGGCAAAAAATAGAAATAAAAAACAAAACCCTGTAGGTGCTGAGGGATGAAATAGCTGTGGGAAGGCAGGGGAGAGAGTGGTGCCTCGGGTAGGCTGTGGTTTGGCCCGAATACTGCAGCAGAGCTAAGGATAGATGACCCTGCATATTGAGGAGGAGTTTTGAGAACTACTTTAAGTGTGTACGTGAACTTGTTAACTAGCAACTCCCGCCTGCCTGCCACCTCCCCACCCCCCCAGCTGCTCAAGCATGCAAGTTAATCCAGAACAATGGTGGACCCCTGGAAACTGCTTCATAAAGCAAAAACAGGAATTTAAGATTTTGCTGGAGAGCCAGTAAAAATATTATGTGTCATAGAATAAAATAAAATCACCCACATGTTATTAGAAATAAAGAGAAAGGACATTCTGAACTGTTTCTAGCCACTAAAGGGTGGTTACTTAAAAGTTAATGGTATGGTTTTCTTTAGTGTTCAGCCTGTGTTTTTATTTTAATGGGCATTGTAACCAACACTATTGAATGCCAACCAACAGCCATTCCTAGCCTCTTTCTCTCCTTGACCTCCTCCTACCAGAAAAATCTTGCTATGTAGGTGGCTATGTGATCTAGTCCTGGCCTGAGACATAAAAGTGATTTCTGTGAGAGGGGAAAGAGCATTCTCCTTGATTAAAAGAAGACATAGAGAAGAAAACTTTTCCATCTCTCCTTTTGCTTTGCTTTGCTTTGAAGATGTGATGTCTGGAGCTGTGGCAGCCATACTGTTGTCAAGTTTGTGATCAAGGCTGAAGCTGAAAGTTAACAAATAGAGGAAGGTAAAAATGCAAAAGATGAAAAGCGAGGTCCTTGAAAGCAACATCGAGCTGCCAACCTTGGAGATCACCTATTTCTAGACTCAAGTAATTAAAGTTATTAAGCACAAGCCACAGTTAGTTTTATGTTACTTGCAATTGGAAGCATCCAATTGACACAAATGCAAAAAAAATTATGAATTTTCTCATGGGTTCATTGAGTATCTCGATCTCCTGGCTTCCATCTTTACCCACAAAGTCTTACCACTAAGGTTTTCACAGCAATTCTTGAGGTTTGAGAGAGAGAGACCACTGCCTGTCCCAGGATTGCTTGAGTTGCTGTGAGGTTCATCCAAACCATAAATTGCTGTAAAATTAAAGGGAAATAGTAAAAAATACTTCTGTGTTAGGCAGACACTGACTTTCATGCCAAAAGGGACAAGATGCCACTAAACAGCTGTTTTCTTTTCTCCTGGGAAGAATGGGTGTTGTCAAATCTAGATGGCCAAGAAGGAAGGTTTTTAAAAACCTCTAGGGGGTAAAGGACAGAAAACTGTAATTGAACAACAATTAAAATTAAAAAAAAAATAAAAGCCTCTAAAGGTAGCAACTTCGGAAATGCCACACTAATCTGAAACTGTGGAGCGGCTTTTGGGGCTTTAGTATTATGCTGACCTGAAACTTTGAAATCATAAATAGCTGACTAGGGTTTATGGAAACAGAGTATTCAGGGGGAAAAAAAAGATTCAACGGAAAAGTTGAAATGACTACATATTTCAAATTCTGATTTCTGAGTGCTGGCTTAAAAATTAGTTACCTGCGTCTGTGTGATGTATACAAGACCAAGCATTATTGCTCTCTAAGTAAGGACACTAAAGCTCAGACCCTTGAGGTTCACAGGGGATACTCTGACCCTCTTCAGGGTCCCAGAGTCTGAGATCTTCGAGCGGCAAGGGCAGAGTTAAGGTAGAGACACGACTGCATGGCGAAGCCCTGCTGCGGAATGCCAGAGGCCGATTCCAGAGAGAAAGCTATTTCTAGACGTTTTATTTTTTAAAGAAATCAAAGCCCCACAGATGTGAGAGCGGGGCCAAGGTGAGACATTGTAGGTGGATGACCTACATCTAAAACACGGATGGCACACCATTTTAAACACGAAGGATGACTTAGCAGATCGTTTAGAGCCTTTAGAAACTTAACAGGCTCACCCTCAAATCCCTCAGTTTATTTGACGCTAATTTTGGTAAAAGATTTCTGGAGAAAATGAAGTGTTTCTAAATTTACCTTCTGGGCTGTCATTTACCTACTTTCCCAGTGTTCCTCTGCTCTCCTCCTGAGCAGATGTTTGTTGCTCCACAGGTCTGCCAGCGCAGGCCGACTGCAGAAGAGCTCAGATCTCCAGGGGTGGGACGTCTGCTCCCAGGTCCTCAAGGAAGAAGCAGGCAGCAAGGAACTGGACCAGTGTCCCTGTGGGGAGCCTTCTGCTGGCAGCTACCTCGGCTGCTGGCTTTGGATACTTCCTTCCAGGCTTTTTCAAAGTGAAACTTTCTAACAAGTTGCTGGGCACCTGCTGGCTGTTTCTGACTCTTCACACCTGAAGTTGATCTGAGAGAACTGGGCCCACCATATGGGTGTGGCTCAGTTGGAGTTCTTCACACACAGTGAAAGGGGGAGAATTAGGTTCCTCGGCAGGGCACATGCCAGGGTTGCAGGTTTGGTCCCTGAATGGCATGCGCACAAGAGGCAACCAATCCATGTTTCCCTCCTTCCTTTATCCTCTCTCTAAAAATAAATAAAATCTTTTAAAAAGAGCAGTAAGAAGTGCAGAGAGATGAGTGTGATGGCATTTTAGTTTTGTTCTTCCTGAACTTTGACCATGTAAGCCAAAAAACGACTTCCTTTTTTGCTGAAGCTTGGCTTGATTTACATTTCTATCACTTGCAACCTGAATCCTCAGCTATTTTAAAAAACTTGTGTATAAGCCCCACTTTTCTTCAAACAAGTAAAGTATTTTACACAAGCATGCTAAAGGAATTCTTTTGAAAAATAAAAATTTATTTTATAAATCAAATACTTTCAAATTTATCTATGTAAATTCAAATTTTTAGGTACTACATTTTCTTATAATACACCACTGTTATCACATACAATTGGAAGGAATAACAATTGAAATACAGTGTAGGCAGAGGTTGTTCTAGTATTCATATTCAATTTGAATAAATAGAAAAGTGTATCAGCCACACAGAATTACACATTTTAGATAATAAAAATGACACACATTATACCCACTTTACTATATTGTAAAATTCAACCGAATATTTGCATAAGTAATGAAAGGGTTAAGAAATGATTTGGGTTATAATCAGAGGATTGTACGTGTAAATTTGTAGAGATATTTTCCCAATAAAATTCCAACAAAAGACTAAACATTACCAAGTATTTTATATCCATAAAGAATTAATTATTTCTGGTTAACATATTTTTGCTTTCATGTCAGAAAAATCACAAATTTGATAAATGTGCATTAAAGCCAATGTTTTCTAGGCCTGAGTTCTGTGTCACCGTCTGTATGGGGTCTGTTTGGAAATGAGGCCAAAATCCCTAGAACAGGCGTATTAGGGTTGGGGAGAGAGATGCTGACACCGTTAGTAAGCGGCAGAGAGGCTGGGAAGGAGGAGACTAGAACTGAAGAGGGAAGGTCGCGTCCCTAACTGCTGCTGCAGAAGGAAACGCGCAAACTAGCCCCAAACAATCCAGTCAGGGTCATGCTGAAGGTGGCCGAGGGTAATAGGGCTCTCAAGCATTCAGAGACAAATTCCAGCAAGATGTCTGGTTTGAGTTGTCAAGCCTTTTTCTTATTGAATTTGTGACTTCTCAGCTGAGGTACTTGACATACTTAAGGGAAAAATACATTCAGATTTCGTTTTGTTAGCTATTAAGCTAGAAAACTAGGCGAGAAGACCAGCACAGAAACCAAAATTCGTGTTTCCTGTAAAGAACTATACACACAAACAGGTTTGCTTATTAAGGGGGTAGGAAAGAAATGGAATTGGAGTTTGGGATCTTTCACAAGATGAAGGCCAGAGGACGGAGGAGGAGGAACTGGGAATGCAGCGGAACTCTGAAGAATGGAGTGACTAGGAATAGTTTCCGTCAACCTGTTCTGCGTTAGGCATTTGTAGCTGAAGCACCTGTACCTAGAGAGGTATGTTTTCAGGATCTAGCTATGGTTACAGATTTTCTGGAAGTTTTTACAGGCATCATTCCCCGTCTGAGTGCTGATGCTTAACTTCCTAAAGTGATATGAATCCTTCTAAGCAGAGATAGCTCAGCAAGTGGTCGTACTGTGTCCAGTCACCGAGTGCTCACACTGTTCACAGACGTCTGGCCCATCAGTGGGAAGGGGATGCGTATGTTTGGCTCATACGTTTTTCAGATAGAATACATTTGACCAAATAAAGCATCGTCCTAAACCCTCTTAACCCCCATATAAGCACGCAATCCACTCCATCAAAAGGGGAGTTCATTGTTCCTGAGATGGAGGAGAAAAACAGTTTCGTACCGCCAAGAACTCTACAGCAAAATCAATGGCTCATACTGAGTGATGGACCGATGCAGCCCACTATCACCAGTAGGAATGTCATTTGGAGTACTTTGGGCAGGTTAAAGAATGTCACCTCCCTGAATGATATTTTAAAAACATTTTATCAGGATATAAGGTCACTTCACTGTTTTTAACCTATACAAGTTAGTGTTTGCTTTGAAACATAATGATATATAGTACTTTCTCCCTTGGGTGTTCTTTATTTCATAGGAGTATCTGCAGCCTAAGGCCTTTATCTAAGCTCCACTAACCAGTTACATCTGCATTAAGTAGTCTCAAATGTGGTCCTAATGGGATACCATCTACTTAGAAGTCTTAAGTACTTAAGGCAATGGCTAAATGTGCAGTATTTTCTGGGGGTCCTTCTCCAAAAGGGGAAGAATATATCAATAAAATATTTTCTGAAGCAGTTAAGATAATTTCATATCTAGCTGGAAAAGATTAAATTAATAACTTGGAAACTGATACCGCTAATGCAAAAGTACTTGATTTGCATACTTACTTGGAATTCAGAATCTTCGTGCTACATAAATATTTTCCAAAAAGAGAAAGACCTACACTTTCCAGTTCAGACATGACACCCACAGGACAAAAGGCAACTTTTTCTCGCCAGTGTGGTTGGGAGAGTGACCACGGGTTTAGTCCACCAGTCTGGTCAGGAAGCCCCTGCGTGGTTTCTCCTCTGCACCGACGATGTTCAGATGTGTGCGCGTGGAGAAAGAAGAAAAAGGTCCTATTGATGTCATCTTTTCTGAGATGTTTATTTTCTCCTACCTGCCAGCCATTTAAATAAAATGAGAAGGAGCTTTTCCAAAGTAACCACAGTTGTATGTAGGAATTTATTTGTTTTAAATATAGAAGTAAGGTAAGAATGAGAATACCTATAACAGCCAAAGAAATCCACCTAAACTCAGATGATACCTGGCATGACAGTTCGCTAATTTTGAAAGTATACAATCTGAGCTTGTAATGCGCAAAGGCATATTCATTAAAGACATTTCTAAAAAATGCATACATTATCTAAGTATCTAGATGTTGCTACAGAAGGAAAACAGACTGCCTCCCTTCTATAAAGAACAGAAGACCAGAAGGAAGTACACCCCATCCCACAAACTGAAGTGGCCATCCACACCGAGAAATAGCAAGCTTTCTATGTAGGCAATGCCACAAGTGGAGCATTATTATAGCTCAGATTATGAGGGAAAGGAAGAATGACCAAGTGAGAGGGAGGAAGAGAAACCTAGAGGTCAAGAGTCCCTATTACAATTACAACACTTCATTAAGCAACAAGATTTTCTAGCTGGAAGGCACATAAACATAACTACAACAGTAACTTATGTAGACAGTGGAAGTTAAGAGAGAAAACCTCCTCTGGATGTAAAGTACGTCTGTACTACCAACATGGGAGCCCGCCAGAGCTGAAACGCAGCACTCTCTCACAGAGGCTGACTGATGGGAAGGGCTGCGGTGGCAGGTACAGAGGATTTGGTGCTCCTGGTTTAGTTTCAGAAATTCTTCAACACTTAGTAAAGCCAATGGGCCTTTTAAATATCACCCCGAATCCTCTATTTGACAAAACATTTACAACTGTAGAGTTATACAGATAATTACTGTTGGTGTGTCCCCAGGTTAGGCCAAGTTCACCGATCCGGCTGGTGGAGTCTTCCAGGCTTTGTCCACCACCACTCAGCATTATAGAGTCAACCAAACAGAAAGGGCGAAAGGAGCAATTGTGAAATTCCTGACTGCTTTGCCTTCGTGATAGGTCCATAATTTATATAAAATACATAATATGTATTAAATGAAAATCAGGGGTAAAAGTTGAAATGGGAGGGGAAAAGCACAACAATCTGGTATTCTTAGGGCAAAACAATAGCAATCTTTTTAAATAGACACTTTATTATATCCACAGTCGATAAAATCCCAGAGCTACTGTTAGGCATGTAAATACAGACCCTGTATGAAAAAAATAATTGAACACAGTATTAGTTATAAAGTTACTTGAGAGAACACTTTTTTATTACGAAAATATAGAGACACTTATTCACCTATCCCCCCAGAGGGGGAAAACACTAAGAAACTCGTTCACTGATTTACCACATTCCATGAAACATCTGCCCATAAGAAAACAAAAACAAAAGTAAAAACGAACCCATGGCTTGAAATCATCTCTGAAGTGCAAATGTATCCAGGACTCAAGAAAACTTTTCAGCGGAAGCTCAGAATCATAGTCTGTGGTCACAAAGTGTGTGTGTGTGTGTGTGTGTGCCATACAGGGACACACCCTTTAGCTTGCAAGCAAAATGTCACTTCTACATACTGCTATAACTTTAAAATATTGATTAACCCCAGAATATTAAATCTGAGTTAAAATAATGGCTAATTTTTTTTTTTGGTACATGAATCTTTATTCCCTCTTTTGGCTCAAAAATTGTGAATAACTCCTTACGGGCGGAAAGATCACAACTCTGTACAATATTCCATGTCTTGAATTTCATTAAAAATTATTTTTTTAAATAACTATAGTTCAGAGATAGTATCTTAACAAACTTAAGATTCCATGGACTATAAAGTACATCATTTTATTTACTTCTAAGAAAAATATTGCCAATTATAGTATGATACTGTATTGGGAATTATAAGATGCTTGCCAATTTCAAAGATATTAAAATATGAAAAAATGTGTTGGAATCAATGAAATACAGTGAAATAACTTACTGTATAGATTTTGTTTATTTGATTTTCAGCCTGTTTTAACTGCCTACATACAGGATGGCTTACCTGCTAAATATTTAATATTATCAAGCTTGTGCGACTCCAGCATGGTTTTGAGGCCAGCAACCTCAGTGTCGATCTTCCTGTCCGTCTGGGTGACAGCCCGGTCTTGCTGGGCGTGCTTTTAAACCAAAGAGACACAGCATTACACCACTTGGGCTACACCACCTCCTCTGCCGTCAGTCCTGAGAGTTCCTGCCCAACAGGGTACAGTCAGGGGACCTGGGTCAGATGAGGACACTTGGGCTTTAGTGTCAGTTCTACCGTCCTCATGCTATGTTATACTGGACAGGGCCTTTCATAAATGTAGGCCTGTTTCCTTCTGTTTGAAAAAAGGGAAAGAAAATGCCATTAGCCCTGCCTCCGCACAGGCTGTTTGGAGAATCAGATGTGATAATCTATGTAAAAAAAGCTTTGGGACATTATAGATTGCTGTACAGGTAAGATTAACATAATGAAGCCAGTCTGCTCTCGACAGCAATCAATGTGTCTTATCCTCCTCTTAATGAAAGGTATACATGTACGCATTTAAAACTCAAATGGAATCTTGGATAATCTAAAAGCAACAGTGCTTGCCTTGACACTATTTCCATTCACATTTTTAAAAGTTTTCTTTTTTTATAGTTCAAACACCAAGTGTTTTGCTATGAGGCTTGGCTATACCAAAGGTCTACTTGTGTTCTTTCCCAAATATAATACAGCTAAATTAGATACATGATTACTCCCAAAGGGTGGTGAGTTTGGCTGATGTTATAAAAGGATTGTCGTATTTCATTAATACATTAAAGCACTGGAGATGCTTCACTAAAAATTCTAGGCCAAGTAGGTAGCTTTCTACAACTAACAATTCAGGTGATGAATAAGAAAATAAATGCCTGGATGAATGGAAAAGTATTCCAGAGGAATATTCCAATATTCTCTCATGGAAGTCTCTCAGGTTCCAGAGGTCCCAGGTATTACAGGATGGAAAAGATGTAAATGCATGTTATAAGTTAAAAATATAATAAAAAATCTATGTTTATTCCTTATTATTCTTCAATCACTGAGATTTTAACTTTTATTAAAATAATCAAGTATTTGGTTAAGTGTGAAAAAAAATCCTATGATACTCCACTTCCAGGTATATGCACATACTCAAAAAACAAAGACCCCCCGCCGACATTTGTACCCCGTGCTCACAGCACTGTCATCCCTAACTGCCACCAGGGGAAGCACCCCGACTGTCTAGCAACAGGGCACTCAAAGTGGGGCATATCCGCACAGCTGAATATTGCTCAGCTTTGAGACAGAAGGAGATCCTGACACAGGCGACAACATAGATGAACCCTGAGGACATTATGCGAAGTGTAATAAGCCAGTCACAGAAGGATAAATAGTGTATGATGCCACTCGTGCACGTTACCTAGAGTGGTCAGGTTCACAGACAGGAAGCAGAGTGGTGGGTGCCGGGGCTGGGGGAAGGAGATGGCGAGTTGCTGTTTACCGGTGACGGCTGTATGATCATGTGAACGTACTTAAGGACACTAAACCACACACTTAGAAATGGTTCAATGGTAACATTTATGTTTATCTTACTACAATTTAAAAAAAACCTATGACACCAAGCCTGCATATATTTTCCTACAACACATCATTACAAATACCAGTAACTATTCACAGGATGAAGCAGAGATGAATAAAATGACCGAGAAAAGTCGGTCCCATTTCTTACCAATGCCACCATTTCTGTCCTCATTTCCAGCAGCTTCCTTTCGTTTAATGAATACTGAAACAAACACGTCACAGAGGTCAGATTCTGGTTTCTTTCTCTTTCTCCTCCTCCTCTAGGGTCTTAAACACTTTGGTCTCACTACTTCCAAGAATATGTGAGACTGGAAATGGCCCCCAGAATAGAGCAGCCTGCCTGTCCCTCTCCTTTAGGTCTGTTGTCCTGAGGTTTCTTATTACTATTCGCTCATTGCTCCAGTATTGGATGCCCTTTTGTCACCTTCCCCTTTCTCTCTGTTACGTTCTTCTCTTTTCATCTCCCCCTGTGTTGTGGCTTGGCCCCTCTCACTACTCAGCATTCTCTGGGTCCAACTTAGAGGAATGCTGAGTCATACCCTTTTTGACAGGAGAGAGCCAAAAAAGCGGGAAACGATTTCATCTAGTGGCTATCCCATCACAATCGCAAACAAAACCTGAGGCTTAGACAAAAGATAGGAAGGATATAAAGTCGGGGGAAAAAGAGTTTCAAAGAATATTATTCTGTGACATGGATGCTGTCTTGTGATCATAAAACAGTGTAAATGCAAGAAATACACTATTTCATCACATCTGATTCAAAACAAACAAACAAACCCACCTGGGCACGGTCACTACCCAGTGTTACTAAAGGAACTAGTTCCACAGGATTAAAATGGTGTCTTGCCTTTGGCTACACTATAATGTCTGTGTGAAGACTGGTGAAATTTTGCAGACATTGAGACCAAAATCAGACATGTGTCCACAGTAATGGGCACTAGGATTTAGTTGAACAAATGCAAATCTATCATTTAAGAGAAATATTAAAATTTTTTTCACTAACTTGCTACAGGAGAAAATAATTAATGCTTTGAAATATCTAGAAATTTTATAGCTATGAAAACTTTTATAGCTGGGTCTGCCAGGGGTAGAGTATAAAAACAGCACCATTGTAAATTTAAAAAAAGAAGAAGAAAAAGCCCCCAAGCCCCAAACTCCAACCTTGGTCCTCGTCACAGGACCAAAGAATGCCTGCTCATCTCAGTCTTTAAATGACAGGGCGTTAGACGCGGAGAGGACTGTGCAGCAAATCACCACCAGAGGGCAGAGGGGAACTGCATTTTCTTCACGCCTTCAAACTCTGGCCTTCAGTAAGTCCACACTGGCTCAGTTGCAAGAGAAATGAAAAGCCCGCATCCTAATATTGCCATGATTTTTAAAAGAGTTACATACTAGCTGAATAATAATATGCTACTTTCCTGCACTTCAGAGTAAGTTTAGTATTACCAAGAACAACTTCTCAGCTAGGGCAGTAAATCACATAAATTCGCTGGCTTTAATCCAGGCTCACATCCCATACTTCCCAAACTTCTCTGTATTTCCTCCTAGGATGGTTAACGATAGGCATCTTCTTAAGTCAAGTGAATGCCAAATTTTTGTTAGGCTCCCAAACCATAAGGACAAAGGTAGCTAAGACAGCTTCTCCTCTTCTAGATACAATACTAGTGAGAGGCTAGTAGTGATCACTAAATATTTCAGTGATACTAAGGGATTTGATCTTCATGGTTGAAAAGTGTTTCAAGATGAGAAAGACAGGTCACATGAACATAATAATTATCTGGTATAACAAAGCTCGGCTTAACTCTTGAAACCCAGAGGCAGTTCCAAAGTATAGTGAAGGACTTGTCTGAGTTTGAATATTAGTTTCATTTATCGTCACAGCACATTTTGGTTGAAAGCAAATTGTGAAAAACGAGAAAACGATGACCATTTGGTTTCTGCATGTGTATCTACTTCTGTGTTAGTGAAAAACGCTTTACAGGCCCCATTTCACAGTAAGCCAGGAATAAAAAAGGCATCTGCTGAATGCTATCAAATTCCAATAAAGCCTGAAGAAGACGGTAGATGGGTGAAAATCAGAGGCAGCCCAGCGCACAAAGATTAAAACATACGACGCACTGAGCCCCACGTCCACGGCAGCATTTACACAGCCCGAGCATGGATGCAAGCGAAGAGTCCACCAGAGAAGAAGCCACCAGTGGATGAAAGGCCCAGGAACATCTGAGATATATCCTTGTGTAGTGTACACCTCTTTTTAATTCTGCCATAAAAAGAAGGGAATATGGCCCTTGTGACAACATGGATGAACCTATGTGCAGTGAAATAAGTCAGACAGAGAGACAAATACTGTATGATCTCACTTACATGCAGGCTCTAAAAAAACCAAGAAACTCCAGGAGCTCACAGATACTGAAAACAGATTGAAGGTTGCCGGAGGGAAAGCATGCAGGATGAGCAAAAATGGGTGAAGTGGGTCAAAAGGTACAAATTTGCAGTTAAAAAAATAAGTAAGTCCTGGGGAGGTAATGTCCCACATGGCAACTATAGATAATAATATCGTATTGTATATTAGAAAGTTGCTAAGAGAGTAAATATTTAAAGTTCTCACCATAAGGAAAAAATTCTTAACTATGCTATATAGTGATGGATATTAACTGAATTTATCATGGCATTCATTCTGTAATGTGCACACATACCAGATCATTACGTTGTATGCCTGAAACTAATACATGTCAGTTACAACTCAATTTTTAAAAGAACGTTACTGTGAACCCTCTGAGGGGACACGACTGTATTTCCAGGCCTGGTCTTTAGAAAAGCAAGGGCCACAGAGCTGTGTCTCCAGGGCGCGGCCCACAAGGCATCGCATGGGGGGTGTGTCTGCTCCAGCTTAATTTACAGCCTACATTTTGTGAGCTCTTTTTGGTAACAAGTGTGCAGCACTACTTCTAATTAAAAGGTTCAATTTAACATAACTTCATCATTTAGAATTTACATTTCAAAACAATGCAGTAAAGTCATTAACATTTCTCATTTTAAGAAGAAGATAATATGGAAATATGTTTAAAATCTTGAATTTCAGTATAGAATTTAATATTATTTCATATTAATAATTTAATATTATTCAGGTCAAATAATCAACTTAAACTTTTGTAAAATCAGGACCTGTAGAAGTTTAAATTAGCATGAAATAGATCAATATTGGGTTTAATTTCTTTATTAATATATAAATGATACCTAATTTAGTATCTCTGAAACAAAAAAAGACTCAAACATATTTGACCAAGACTTGAATTTTAATTATGTTTTTGAAAGCACCAAATTTGTGTTAATCTAAAATATAATTAAAATTATGAAAAAACTGTGTCTAACCACCATATACCAGTAAGCATCTATTTTTTTTACATTTATTTATTTTCTAATTTAGTTATTTTTCAAGTACAGTTTTTTGTCTATTTCTCCCATCCAAGCCCACCCCCGTCCAGCGCTCCCCACTTCCCCCCCATCCCCACCCCCCAACCCTCATCTCTGCATCCCTCACACTTGTTCCCCCAAAATTCCTCCCCCCCCCCCTTAACTTCCCTTCCTTCTCCCCTCTGGTCACTGTCCCCTTGTTCTCTATTTCAGTGTCTTTGTTTTTTTTTTCTGCTTGCTTGTTTGTTTTGTTGTTTAGCTTCCTGTTAAAGGTGAGATCATATGGTATTTGCCTTTCAGCACCTGGCCTATTTCACTCAGCATAATGCTTTCCAGTTCCATCCATGTTGTTGCAAAGCGCAGTAGCTCCTTCTTTCTCTCTGCTGCATAGAATTCCATTGTGTATATGTACCACAATTTTTTGATCCATTCATTTACTGCTGGGTACCTAGGTTGTTTCCAACTCTTGGCTATTGTAAATTGTGCTGCTATGAACATTGTGGTGCATAAGTTCTTTGAAATTGATGTTTTAGGATTCTTAGGATATAATCCTAGCAGTGGAATTGCTGGGTCAAAAGGCAGGTGGATTTTTATTTTTCTGAGAAAATTCCATACTGTTTTCCATAATGGTTGTACCAGTCTGCAATCCCACCAACAGTAAACTAAGGACCCCTTTTCCCCACAACCTCTCCAACATTTGTTTTTTGTTGCTTTGTTTATGATGGCCATTCTGACCGGTGTAAAGTGGTATCTCATAGTGGTTTTACTTTGCATCTCTCTGATAGCTAACGATATTGAGCATCTCTTCATGTGTCTCTGAATATTCTGTATGTCCTCCTTGGAGAAGTGTCTGTTCAAGTCCTTTTCCCACTTTTTAATTGAGTTAGATGTCTTCTTATAGTGGAGCCGTGTAAGTTCTACCAGTAAGTATCTAATAGTACTTGTGAACTGTATATAAACTTAGACTTGACCAAGCATTCCATCCAGTATAGAATTTAATTCATACTCTATGTTAATAAAGGAACATACCAATTCTTTTACTCTGCTCTTTTCTAGATTGAAGTCTAGTTTGGAATCTGTTCGGACTTTCACCACTTCATCCTAGTAGGAGGGCAAACAATAGAGAAAGAAAGAAAGAAATCCAGAGTAAGAAATCCAGACCTGCTGAGGACGTGAACCTGAGCCAGCTGCCAGCCTACGAGCCCCTCCCAGGAAAGGGGCAGGACGGGAGCTCCCAGGGCTGGGAATTGGTGTCTGGGGAGACCTGGGCCAATCCATACCCAGAGACAGCCCTGTTTGGGGATGTCTTGGTTATATACACAAAGAATCCCCTTTTATGCTTAAATTAGCAGAGTTGGTTACTGTTGCTTTTAGCTTCGAGATTCCCAAGATAATATCCTTGTGGAATTTATGGTTAAAGCTGGTTCTTGGACAACTTTGGAAAGCAGAGATAGACTCAAAGAAATAAAACATTACACTCTTATTTGGATAAAGCCTTTTTCCTGATGCTCATCAAAATCTCTTCTTTCACACCAATGCCCCTGCCACTTAAAAAAAAAAAAATCAAATGTGGCTCAGTTGGAGCATCATCCCATAAACCTGAAAGGTTGTGAGTTCAATTCCCGGTCAGTGCACATGCCTAGGTTGCAGGTTCAGTCCCTGGTTGGGGTGCATATGAGAGGCAACTAATTGATGTTTCTCTCTCATATAGATGTTTCTGTCCCTCATTCTCCCTCCCTGCCCCTTGCTCTAAAAAATTTTTTTCTTTAATTAAAAAATTAAAAAAATCAAACAATTGATAGAGTGAGCATTTTAAAAACATATGTCATTCTCTAAAGACAGTCTATTCTAAGAAAATATAGGGTTTCACGTGGCTACTTTAAAGAATTTTTTATTTAAAAATAATTTAATTCCTCCTAGAACACAATTTTATTAATGAATTTGGTTACAGACATCAATAATTTATTCTTTGGCTATGTTCTTAGCTAAATCTTCCAATGTGTACTTCTGAGACATATTACACAAATATTTAACATAGAATTAAGTTTTTGAGAACAAAGTATTCCTGACAGTATATTTATTAAGCTTATGTAATTGTAAACAAGCAAGCAAACAGGAATGAGGATCTTACCATTATTTGTTGTTTTAACCGAAGTAGTTCAAGTTTTACTTTCTAAAAACACATTAAAAAGAACAAAGTCAAGGATATGTTTAGAAGGTTAGAAAAAAATATAAAACTTGGTAACAAATATTAGAACATGCATTCACGCACAAGTTCTTCCCGCAGTCAACGTGAAGCTGACCATTTTCAGAGTGCCGCCATAACTGAGTGGTCTCAGCAGAAGCGGTCACCTGTCATGCCAGCATGGTTCAGTTCTTTTTACATACACATATGCCTTCAGAGACCTTGCTCTCTTGAATATCTCCTTTAATTTTTCTCTTAACTAAATGCCTCAAACAGTTGATTTCATGGATAATTCTGAGAGTTTCAAATTTTACCTTTTTCTAGCAAAAAGAGAATCTTTGCTAGAAGGTGTCTTGCAATACTAAGACTAATATAAACAGGCACTAAATGAGCTTCCTTTAGGGGACTGTGACAGAATTGGAAACACAAGGACGATGCAAAAACAGCATTTATGTAAACACCGATCCCATGTGTCACACTTTAAGAAACTAGGATATTTTACAGCAGTACTTCTTCATGATAAACAAACATTAGAAACAATTCTAATATACATCACAGCAGAATAATGTGGCACGTTCATATAACACCACAGGCAATAGAAAAGCATGACCTACTATTACAAGACACACTGTATGATCCCATCAGTTTAAATTCCAGAATAGGCAAAACCAGTCAGTGGTGCTATACCCCAAGACAGTGGTCTCCTCTGTGGGAGGGACTGGGAGGGGGCAGGCGCAGGACTTGTGGGTGCCGGCAGTGTTCTACTTCTTGATCTGACTGGTAGCATATACTCTGTGAAGATTCATCGTGATGTACATTTACTTGTGCACTTCTGTGTATGTATATTGTATCTCAATGTCCGGATATAAAGCATTTTATAAGTGGCTGTTTAGTTTTACCTCATTTTCTGCTCTGAGAGCTGAAAATTCACTCTTCTCCAAAATAATCATATCTTTTTTCACACTAGCAATCTGAGACATTATTTGCTGAAGAGTGATCTCCTAGGAAAAGAAAAACAAAACACATTACCTAGTGTAGTCTAGGAGTACTCCTCCTATGGTCTCTACCTGGGATCACCTTAATGAGAAACTAGAAGAATGTGGACATAAGAAAAGAGGTTCAGCAAGGTTGCCCTCTATTCCAAAATGAGAAAAGGAAAAGAATAAAAACTCAAGTCCAGTACCACCATCAACAGAATCACAGCTAAAGGGTGGCAGTCAGAGGACCAGTGGCTCGAAAGCACACTGCTGTAACTCTGGCCACCTCCTGATTCACTCAGACATGGAGGGCTGAACCGTCGGTTTTTAAGCACAGTGAGCTTACAAGCATAATGATTCTACAACAGTTCACTAAGTAGCTTTCAATAAATACTTTTTATGCTACTGTAATAATTTGCCTGTCAACTATGGTTAAAATTTTTATACTTTTCAATAGAACATTATCCAAAAATACATATTACAAATGAAACCCTCCCTTCAGATTTCAGATTTGCAAAAGTGCCCTGACAAAGCTCACCTGTTGCATCTTGGTGACCATGTCTTTGTAGACGATATCCATGTTGGCCTCTGTGATCTTGACCAAGGCAGATACAATGATTTCTGCTTGTTGAGTAGTAAACCCTAAGCAAACACACAAAGACAATTACATTCAGGAGATTCTAGCTGTCAAAAAAAAAATCCTTTACAGAAAGGGAGAAAACACAAACTTACACACTGAAGTGAAAGTCTGCATTCAGAAGCAGGTGAGAGCCTGCGGAAGGAGGATGAGGGAACCAGTCACAAGCTACGATGTGTCTGTCCCTCTGACAAGCACGCCATGTTTGAGTCTGTTCCCGTGTGAAATGGGCAGCTGGGCTAACTGCTCTATACGGTCCTTCCTAGCTGTCCAAAATCAGGTTTTCAGAGAAAGTCTAGTAACCTAGGGGATGCCTGCCAGGCAAGGCCAGGTGAAAAAAAGCAAGACTCAATATTACAGATACAATTTACCGCTTTTGTGGTTTAGCAAAGATTCTAGATAATTTTTATTTTCTTTAATGGATGTGACTTCTTCCATTATAAAATATACATATCAGCAAAAAATATTTTAGTAAGTAGAAAAGCTCACTTATTTTATATCCAGCTAAATCAGTCAAATTATTGACTATGGAAATAGTGATTTTGTTCCTAGTTAATTTAATGTTCAAAGACAATGTTAAAATCAGTTCTTTTGGTTGTCCTCCACAATTCTCTGCAGTCAGTAATGATGCAGGCCAAGACAGGAGGAAAATGTATTCTTTGATACTCAATAAATGATACTGAATTGAACTGTATAAAGATTCAATTTAGCAGTATTGCTGTTTTTAACAACTTTAGATAGTAATTTATATTTCATATTGGAAATTCTCATAAAAATGCTTAAAACCAAGTCCCTGGAAAGTAATTCTTTCTATTAAATATGTCTGTCTATAAGAATCTCAGAAGAATCTATGATTCTTATAATTAATGGAACATTTGTTTGAATAAAGTTATATATAGGTGATAAGATTATACATGAGAGTATAGTTTTTTTTAAAAAAAGGGCACAGTTTTAAAGGCAACAACAAAAAAAACCGCTTCAAAGGCCTACTCCCTTCAATTCATTCAAAGTCCTTTAATTTTCAATGTGTGGGTCATGCACACCTAGAAAAATCACTAAAAAAATCAGTAGAAAAATCATTCAAAGGGTTGTCTGCCAAAATGGTAATATGTGTAGCCCTCAGATATTGGGATTCGGAGTAGTTTTTGCATGTTTTCCCCCATCTTCCTAATTTTTAAAAAATGTATATGTCTTGCAATTTTTAAAAATTTAAGAAAAGTTCATAGTTAAACATAATGAGATTTGGCAATTATGAAGAAAAGAAAAAAAGAGACAGGAAAAAGGAACTTATGCTGGTAATAAAATAAACTCCAAAGCCTTAAAATTAAACAAGCACCAATGGAAGGTGAAAGGGGACCAGGGAAAGCAGAGCCTGAAAACCTGCTGAGCTACCAGACGCAAACCATTCCTTTGTAGGACAAAACCCACTGGGGTTAGTGAGACTGTAGACCTAGCGAGTTTCATTAACCAGCAGACACAACTGAAGAAACAAGGATAAAGGAGGGAGTATTCCGCGAAGGGTGAGCCGTCTGGCCGCACCCTGACCTGGACGCCTCACGCGTCCCTCACTGATCTCACAGCCTTTACACCCTACACACGCGCCACTGGGGTCCTCACGGCGCTGGTCTTGAACTGTGCAAACATTCATGCATATTTCAAGCTTTGAAACCAAGAAAAGTAGGAAGTATATACCCCCAAACATCATATTTTAAAAATATACAATTTTTTTATTTGTATAGCTAAATAAATAAAATTTTAAAGGGGAAAAGGGAAAATAAACCCCTCCTCTCATTAGGAGGAAGGATTGGTGGCCATCTGGAGTCCACTGCAGCTACCTTGACAATGTTACACTTCACAGAATTAGTGATGCCCCCTAATATCATCAAACACCTAGTGGATGTCGGTATGCCCCCATGGTCTCTAATATTTCTACTCTGAATACATATACACATGCCCACAGAGAAGATATTTTAGATGGCCCTCTTCTCACTTCCACTTTTTTTTTTTGCCAGTAAAATAAGTTTTTGGTAAAAAGGGCTCTTCTTCTCACTTCCGCTTTTTTTTTTTTTTTTTTTGCCAGTAAAAGAAGTTTCTGGTAAAAAGGGCCTGCTAGTTCAAGTTTGACAAGAAAAGCTTGTAAAAATATTATACAACATTTGACATCTTTTCCAGAGTGCATTCAATAACAGTATTTAATATTCAAAAGGCCCTTTGGAATGCTCAGCACGCCCATGAGGAACAACGAGGAAACTGCAGCTGAGGGTGAAAGGACTGCCGAGGCCGGGCCCCAGGGCGGCCGGAGCCCCGAGCTCCTGACCCCCACGGGGGCATGGAATTCACTCCATCACCTTGATCTGGGCATGTTTAGTACATCCGCAGAGGATGGCTTTTCAGGTATGATCATGTACAACTGGATAAATAACTATACGATGAAGTAAAAACACAGATCTATTTATTTCCAAGGAATAATCTATGATATATAAGATTCTGATTTTGAGATGTATATGTCACAGTACAGAGAATTATAATTGGTGTACTTGTCTAGATAAGATGAAATATGAGAATGTTCTCTCTATATAAAGTGTGCTTTCAACAAATGTCATATGTGTCCAAGCAATCTGGTTTTTCAAATAATTTTATTTTTAGAGGAAAGGAGGGAGAAAGGGAGAGAAACACTGATGTGTGGTTGTCTCTCGTGGGCCCCCTACTGGGGACCTGGCCTGTGACCCAGGCATGTGCCCTGACTGGGCATTGAACCAGAGACCTTTTGCTCTGCAGGCTGAGCCACGCCAACCATGGACAGAGCAATATCTTATATTAATGACAATAGCAATAAGAGAAAATGTTAGTCTGAATATTTTTAAAGAGAACACAATGATGTGATATTATCAATAACTGCTGCTCAGCAACATTTTAATTTCATAAAAACTATAAAAGCACACAAGATGCACAGTAATAAAACTATCACTTCTGTGCTTCAGACAGTAAGAACCACTCCTGAGTTGTGCTGACTTGTGCCTACATTCTTATCTTTAACACTGTATTTCTAGAGTGATGTTAAAAGAATACACTCCACTTGGACAAAATATATGAGAAAAACTCTACTGTATTGCTGAAGCAAAAATATCCTTCAATAAAAAAGGAGGACTAAAAAATGGAGACTGACTAAAAACTACCTGCAGACTTAAAAGTCAAATAGAAATAGGAGAAATTAGATGAAATCGTAAGAGAAGTAATAATTCACGGTGCAGTTCTATGGCACTGAGTGACCAAAGAGAAGGGATTACCATTTTCTTCCAGTAAACACACTAAGGCATGGGTGTCAAAGTAGAGCTTCTTGCTCCCGGAAGAGGTGAAATCTCGGTGTCTGCGCTCCAGCTGTGGGCACCCGGCAGAGAGGCTTAGCTCTAAAATGGAAAGGACAATCACCTTCAAAATGGGACCTAATGGTAAACCAAAGCATCCCAGCAACATGAACAAATCAGGCATGCCTCAACAGCCTTTTTTTTTAAACAACACCTTTATTGAGCTCGAATTCACATACCATACAACTCACCCATTCCCCGTGTACAATTTGATTGTTTTTAGTATATTTACAGAGTTATGTAAGCATCCCCACAGTCAACTTTAGAACACTGTCATTGTCCCCCAAAGAGACAAAACTCCCCAGGTCTCCACTCCCAGGCAACTATTGATCTACATCCTGTCTCTGTGGATGTGCCTACTCTGGACACTGCGGATGAACAGAATATAAGATATGTGCTACTCTGTAATTGGTGTCTTCAGCTAGCATGATGTTTTCAAGGTTCATCCACCTCGTAGTATGTGTAGTACGTCACTTCTTTTTATTGCCAAATACTATTCCATTGTACAAAAATACCAATTTTACTTAAACTATTGATTAGTTAAAGGATACTGGAGTTGTTTCCTTCTTGGCCAGTGTGAATAATGCTGCTATAAAAATTGTGTACAAGCTTTTGTGTAAACGTGTTTTCAATTCTCTTGGGCACAGACGTAGGAGTGGAACTGCTGAACCACGGGGTAACTTTCTGTTTAAACTTATGGGGTTACGTCAGACTGCTTTCCGGAGTGGCCACACCATGGACATTCCCACCAGCAGCGTACGAGGGTCCCAGTTTCTCCACACCCTCAACACTCGTTTTATCTTTTTTATTATAATCACCATAGCAGGTGTAGAGTGGTATCTCATGATGGTTTTGAGGTGCATTTCCCTGATGGCTAATGATGTTGAGTATCCTTCCACGTGCTTATTCAACATTTGTATATCTGCTTTGGAGAAATATCTATTCAGACCTTTTGCCTTCATAAAAAATGGGTTATCTTTTTATTGCTGAGTTGTAAGACTGCCTATATTTTAGATACAAGTTCCATAATGTACCAGTAGGTATGATTTCAAATATTCTGTGAGTTGTCTTCTACTTTCTCAACAGCACCTTTTGAAGCACAAAAGTTTTTAATTATAATGAAGCTCAATTTATTTTTTTATTTTGTTCCTTGTGCTTTTGGTGTCATATCTAAAAAATTACTGGCTAATACAAGTATACAAAGATTTATACCTATGTTTTCTTCTAATTATTTTACAGTTTTAGCTCTTACATTTAGATCCTTGATCCAGGTGAGTTAATTTTTGTACATACGGTGAGATGGGAGCTCAACTTCATTCTTTGGAATGATGTGGATGTCCAGTTGTCCCAAAACTATTTTCCCTCTTAAACTGCCTTGTGACTCTTGCCAAAAACTAATGGACTGTAACGTAAGGGTTTATCTCTGGGTCTTCCACTCTATTCCACCGATCCACACACCTGTTCTTCTGCCAGTGCCATGTTCCCTTGATGACTGTGTGGTAAGTTTTGACATCAGGAAGTGAGTACTGCGACTCTTTTCTTTTTCTAGATTGTTTTTTGGCCATTCTCAGTCCCTTGCATTTCTATATGAATATTAGGGTCAGTTTATCAATTTCTGACCATAAACATTTGAACAATATTAAAGTCTCCCAACCCGTGAACATGAGATGTCTTTCTTTTTATTTAGGTATTTAATTTACCTACTAATGTTACGCAGGTTTCAGAGTATAAATTTTATGCTATTATGTTAAATTTATCCCTGAATATACTTTTTAATGCGACGTAAAGGGAATTATTATTTCATTTTTCAGATTGTTCACTGCTAGTGTATAGAAATAGAACTGATTTTTATCTATTTTAAAAATATATTTAGTATATTAATCTTATATCCATCCCGTTGAACCTGTTTATTAGCTCCAATAGTTTTTTAGTGAATTCATTAGAATTTTCTAAGTACAAGGTTGCTGTGAACAGTTGTGGTTTAACTTCTTCCTTTAAAATCTGGATGCTTTTTTCATTTTCTTGCCTAACTGCCCTGATTCGGATTTGTAGTACAGTGCCGAGTGGAAGGATGAGAGCAGACGCCCCTTACTCCTGACATCAGAGCAGGGTTCTCCAACCTCTGCGCCAAGGGGCGCTACTGGTAGGCCTGTTAGGAACTGGGCTGCACAGCAAGAGGTAAGCTTGAATGTAATGTGCTTGACTCATCCCAAAACCATTTCCCCCCACACACTGGTCCCTGGCCCCCAGAAGGCTGGGGACGGCTGTGTTAGAGGGAAAGCATTCTATCTATTCCCAGTAAGTATACTGAGGGTTTTCACAGATGCCCTTTATCAGTCAAAGCAGTTACCTTCTAATTCCTAATTTGCCGTGTGTGTGTGTGTGTGTGTGTGTGTGTGTGCTTTACATCATGAAGGGGTGTTGAATTCTGTCAAATTCCTTTTCTTTGTCTTTTGAGATGATCATGTGATTTCCTTTATTTTGTTAGTATGGTGTATTACATAAACTGATTTGCAGATGTTAAGTGAACCTGATATTCCTGGGACAAAAATCCCATCTGGTCATGGTGTATAGTCATTTTCACATATTTCAAGAGTTGGTTTGCTAGTATTTTCTAGAGGATTCTTGTGTCCTTATTTACAAGAGATTGATCTGTCATTTTCTTCCCTTGTGATGTCTTTGCAAAAGCCTACTTTTAGGGAGATGAGTTTAACAATCGGTATGACCATTTTTATGAATTTCTATGCTCTAAGGCACAGATCCAACCCATTTTGTAAACTTATTTCAAGGTTCTCATTTGATGGAGGTAGCATAGTAATGGTTTCCTGGCTTTTGTATTTCATGAACCACAATACTAGCTTTTTAAAAACATGGAACGATTGTAGTTTCAATTTGTAATTTAGCCAAGAAAGGACATTTAAACATCATAGTTCCTTACTATTACAGTCATACTTAAAAAAAAAGGACATTTTGATAGCAAGGAGAAAAAAGGGATGGACAACATGGAATTAAAACCTTTCATTTAAATGTAACAAACATAGTTACGTGCAAATTTTGCTACATATTTGTCCTTACTTTTCAAGGATGCCAGGTGATGTAGAAGAGCGGTAGAAGAGGTAACAGTCATCTACTAACTCAAAGTTCAAAGGTTTGCTCAGTAGGTCTCCTAAATGACCAGAAGGATACTTCAGCTTATCAACTCCTACTCTCAATCCCTACTCCCTCTTAGAGAAAGTGCAAAGCAAAAACCTGACAGGGACAGGCCCCCACAGATCTGATTCTTCCCCGTAAGCCTAGAGCAGCAGTTCTCAACTTACTGGCTACCAGAAAGAATAGGCTTGCTGTGGTTACGGTAAGATCAAGAGATCCAACAATCACTCTGTAGTACACACGGTAGACTGACAACATATAAAATGCAACAACTATTGTCTGTATGTGTGTGTTTAGTGGTTAAAAAAACGGCCCTTAGATTCAAAGAACCACTAGCCTATATTATAAAGTCCTTGGCAAGGCATACAAAGCCTGTTCCAGTTTGACCCACATTTATCTTTTCAGCTTTCTTTCTAGCTACCGAAGCTCTCCTGTTTTCTGAACTTTCATTCTTTGGTATTCCGTCCTTAATCTTGGTTTGTTCCTCTTTCTCAAATGGTAAATTTTAAGCATCTTCTTTACTGCTCTTCATTTCATTTGCCAGTTTCCTAAACACTCATTACATTCTGGTTATGGTTATATAATTTATGGTTCTCTCTGCCAACTCCACCCAGGTCAGGGGGCCACCTTTATTGCTTCTTTATCTCAGCCCAGTACAGCTAGCTCTATCATAGAACTTATTATGTTACTTCCACATCTGTATCCTCTATTAGTTTATAATCCCCAAGAGGAGCCATTCTTAGTCATTTTTGTATTGTTGGCATCTATCAGAGGGCCTAGCATACTGAAGGCAAAAAATTATTAAAAACAAAAAATGCAATTGTATGATTTCTAAGATATGGATCATGAGACTGTCTAGGAAGGGGCTCTCTGTAGGCCGCCCACCCATCTTGGAATTGTGCTGGACTGTGCCATGGGTTAGGAATCTTGAAAACCTTTGAGTATAGAACCGGCTTATGAAGAGTGATGGGTTTAGTCTAGTCCCAGATTCCTTCTTTCTAGTAACAAAATAATCATTATGTGATTTAAAACAAAATACTACAAACACAAAACAAAATATCACGACTCATTTCTAAGCAAGAGCTAATTACAATTTAGATACTGCAGATTTTCCCCCCAAATTACTGGAGTTTATTTCAATTACAAGCTTATTTCATAGAAATACTGTCATCTGAGAAGTGGAGAAAAGGGCTGGCCACTCCCCACTTGGCCCTCCAAGCCCTGCTGACAAAGGGTGAGTGCCAGCTGGCCTCTGTCAAAGGGCCGAGGAGGCAGCAATACCAACACCCAGAGCACCTCTGACTCACTTTTCTTTCTTGTGACAACAAAAGCAGACCCAAGAACCACAAATACCTACTAATAACCAGGAAGAAAATAAACTGAGCTATATTAATATAGAGTAATAGGAAATTCTCCTTTGGGGGACCTTCGATATACCAAAAGGATGTTAAAAACACACACCAAAGAAGCCCAAAGTTAACCTTGACCAGAAGAGGGCATCAAGTACTGTATTTTGCTGTGTATAATGCACAATTTTTTTGCCCAAATTTTTGAGAGAAAAATAAGGACGATCATTATTCATGGGTAGTACTAATTCTGTATCTATAGAAATATTTATAATTCTTTTATTTTTTTGTGCTTATGCATTAAAAGTATAACAAGATATCAATAATGATATCTGTATGCAAAATAATACCCTGAAATATGATGGTTTTGTTTCTAAATATAAATACAGACATTGAATTAAAAAATTACAATGAAAGATTTTTTTCCTTAAAGTCTGGGCAAAAAACATAGGTGCACATTATACATGGGAGCATATTATACATGGCAAAATAAAGTACAAGTTTCCTATTTGCAACATCCTTAAGTCCAAGTAGCCCTACTTAGAACCTATGGCACTAAACAAACTTCTAGGCTGAAGATAAAGGAACGAAACTCTCATTTGCTGATGGTTAGTGGGCACACACGATTCTTTAACTGTCTTGGCTGTGTCTCTCCATATTTATGTATCCATACACATTTGGTGAAGAATGACTTCATTTGAGACTAATCCTACATTATTGCCTTTCGGATACAATGTCAGAAGACTGATGAGAAAGAACCTTTTCTCCCTTTTGCATCATAATCTTGATTATGAAGAAAATAAATCACAAGCTTCCAGCTTGAGAAAAAATAGGACCAAAAGGCAAAGTACAGAAATAAAGTTCAAAGCCATCTCTAGTAAGTACTGCAGGACACTGACAAAGTTCACTCACTACTCATTCCACACCTTCTACATGTAAAACTTCATTCACTGTTGCTTTACCAATCAGTTTCTCCCCTAGCCAAAGGTATTTTTAAATTTTAGATGCAGCTCACATTTACTCGCCATTTCCGTTGAGAAAAAAGAAAAAAGCTATTGGAGTGGTAGAGTGGTTACTGATGGAAAAGTATGTTCCCAAAGTGATATTTTTGCCATGTGTGCTAATAATTACTCAAAGTGATGACCTTTTTACCAACAATTTGCTATCTAATAAATTGAGCCTGTTTAGATTTCCTTAATTTCATGTAGGGCAGTGACTGCCCTCACCCCCTTCAAGTATTTAGTCAAAGGCCACCTTCTCAATGAAACCTATTCTGAAGACGCTATTAAAGTCATAACTGGAGGCCCACCTCACTTCCTAACCCTTACCACCTCTATTTTTCTTATAGTATTTATTAGATTATGTACATACAACTATTATATTTGCACATGTAAACTGTATATGTATACAAAATTAGATCTATAGCTGTTCATTTAAACATATATGTATATCACTTCTTTTGTTGGAAGTAAGCTCCAAGAAAGCAAACATTTTGTTGACTGACAGGTCCCAAACATCTATTAATGTGACAGGCACAGAGTAGGCACCAGTGCTTAATGAATGAATTAACAAATACACTAGAGTAAGTTGTGAAACAATCCCTTCATTTCCCGGGGTTCCACTTCTCAAACTTGCCAGCCTCCTGCACACCCTTCACCCGAGTCGGGACACGGTGAGTACCGGCAAAACTGCAACCTGTATGGGCACTAGCTCACTGCCCGGGCTCGCACCACCCTTCCCAAACCCCATTCCAATTTTGCGCCAAAACCTTTATGCCGGCATTCCGAGTAATTCAGATTATTTTAGCTGGCCAAGGCCAAGACCAAGACACTGCGGACCAGAAGGACGGGGCCAGACAGACTTTCGTCCCCACGCCCTAGAAGAAACCTGGTGACCTCTAGTGACCGGACCTCTGGGTCTTCCGGTTTTCCCGTCCCGCTTCCCCAGCCCCGCGAGGCGAGGCCCCTCTCTGACGGCCTGATCCTACCTCTCCTCGAGGAAGCGAGGGCTGGCACCCAGGCTTGGCACAGGTGGAGAAGGCGGGCGGCACCAGCGACGCCCAGGGCGGGGCCCAGTTGGCCCCTCGGTGCGGAGCCGCCGCTGTCGTGGCCACCGGCTTGGGTAGCCGAGGTTTCCGGGCGCGAGCGCTCCCAGTCTCCTAGTGGTCGGCGCTGTGCGGCGGCGGCCAGGCGTGGGGAGGGAACCAGCACCAACGGGAGCAGCGCGGAGGCACGGGAAGCGCCGCGGGACCCTAGGACTCGGGGGCCCAGCGCCCCCGGACCTTCCGGGAATGCGGACAGGCAGCGGCGTGCCGGAACGCCGCGGCCGCCCAGGCTTCCGTGGCGGCTGGCGAGTAGGAAGAGCAGAAGCCGCCGGCGATCCGGCGGGGGCTTCGGCCCCTTTCCCGAGACAGAGCTACAATCCATCCCCGAGCCTGTCACTGGCCCGGGAGCGCGCTCATGGCGCTCGCGCGCGGCGCCGGTCACGCGCAGCTCGGTCCCGAACCCGACCGCAGGGGGCTGTGCGGCAGCGTCGGCCCGCCCTTTCCAGCCCGCTTGGCGGGACTCCCGGCGCGGGGCGGGGCAGGGGGCGGGGCTCGTCTCTGAATCCGCGGGAGGGGCGAGTCCCGCCCGCTGAGGTAGGCAGCAGGGTGGAGCGGGTTGGGGCTACCAGCGCTCCCGGAACTACAGTGTGCTTTTGCTGCCATGATTTGCATATTCATTACACTGGTGTCCTTATAGAGAAATTTATGACCCTGGCGCCCTTTAGACTTCGGTGAAAAGTCCCTTCACCACCAGACTGCCCTCGATTTTACTATCCCCTTCTAAAATCCCCCAGAGTCTGGCGCTCGGGTGGATATTAAGGAATTATTAACAGGGCCAATGGAAGGACCCGGCATACTCAAAAACATTTAAAGGTGAAACTTTCAGAGTTTTGTTTCCAGATTAGTGAACCATAGAAATGAGAAAGTCTCAATTTGGAAATTTAAAACGCGGGGCAGGAACGATGAATGAGATAATAAAGTAATATGTAATACCAGTTGTGTTCAGTTCAGTGAACATTTTGAATGCCTGTTGCACCTACCTCAGTTACTGGTGTATTGTGTGAACTCAGTAGGAGTTCCTTGAATGAATGAAAGACATGCACAGGCACTAGACTAGGAGATAAAAAAAAAAAGAGATTGTACTTCTCCTCCAGAACTTTTTTAAACACTTGTAAATGTACACATACATGATGGAAGAAGAATATAAGAGAGCTACAAAGTGCTGGTAAGATAGAAGAGACTGCATACGGTTGTGGAAGAGGTGTAAGTGGCTATCAAATTATAAAGAATTAAAAATATTAAGGTGCAAGTAGACACTTTCATAAAAGGTTAGGAAGTATACTTTTGTCGAACTGGTAGGAAAAGCATTTAGCAATATGTGTCAACATTCTATTGTGTTAATAAATTTTGCTCAAATCTCTCAACTCTGAAAATTCAATGTAAGGGAATAATCCAAAATATTCAAAATTTATTATGATGGAACATATGGACTTGTCATTTTTATAGACAGAAATATTGAAGATTGGTAATTTTATGTGGATCAATGTAATAAATGCACAAAGATATTTATTTCATTATAATTCATGATTGTGAAAAAGTGGAAAAAACTAATGCCCAACATTAGAGGAATGGTTAAATCAATGGTACAAACTGTATTTAATAATAGCCCTCCATACAATAAATTTTTAAAGTTGAATTTCCAAATAATAAAAATCTTCAATCTTACTTCAATTTGATGGCTTTAATCAATTGTATATATTCATATAACCACCACTCAAACAAGATACAGAACATGTTCATCACTCCACAAAAGTTCCTTTGTGCTCCTTTCCAGTTTTTTAGGTAATTTCCTCCCCCAAAACAACCATTTTCTGATTTTAGTCACCACAGATTAGTTTTTTCTGTTTTTGAACTTCATATAAATGGTATCATACAATAAGAATGCCTTGGGTTTGACTTCCTCCTGCCTTGTGTCTGTTGTCAATATAGTATCTGTGAGATATATCCATATTGTTGCATCAGGAATTAGTTCCTTTTTATCCTTGAGTAATGTTTCATTGTGTAACTATTCCACGACTTAGTTATTTCTTCTTCTATTGATGGAATTTGGTTTCCAGTTTTTGGTTTTTATGAATAAGACTGGTATGAACACTTTTCTATAGGTCTTGGTGTGGACAAATATTATTTATCCCTTCTACGGTAGTATTATGAATAATTAATAAAAATTTTGAGTATTATTGATAACACAAAAGATCTAAAAAAATTCTAAAAACATTTTATTAATTCAAAGATCTTTTACCATGTGTGAAAACTCACTTTTTCCATAGTATGAAAAACTCAGTTTTATAGTTTTATAATATAATACATAGGACATATATGTATTATATAAATATTTTTATGTATAATTATACTTATTTATATGTATAATAAACATTTATACATAGATATTTATATAATATACATTATATAAAGGAATGACCAATTTGTTTAGAATTAAATTTCTTTAATATAGTATCTGATTTGTTTGGTGTGGAATTTGAAGCAAATCTCGAGATTGAAACTGTAGTTTAAAAAAGGTATATTTTAAGGAATGTTAAAAATAATTAGATACTCCTGGCATTCTGTAACTGCCTTGTTGCTAAAGAAATTGAGATTCCGTACTAGATGGTGTGCTGTCCTTCTCTCAAGCCTGCTTCTGTGCCTGAGTGTACTCCACTTATAACACTTAGTCATAGACGGTTTACTTACTGTCTAGGACACTTAGAAAGCTCCAGATCACTCGAATTAACAGAGTCCCCAAATAAATATAGTTCCAGCGTTGGATCATCCTCCCAAGGAACAAAATCAAAAAATGATTCCTTGATAATTTACTTATTTCCTCCTTCAAAAGAAAATTTTGTTTTTGGATCTTGCCCTGGCTGTGTTATCGTGTACATGAAAGGTTGCCAGTTTGATTCCCAGTCAGGGCACATACCTAGGTTGCAGGTCTGATCCCTGGCCAGGGTGTGTACAGGAGGCAACTGATCAATGTTTCTCTCTCACATCCATATTTTTCTTTCTCTCCCTCTCTCTTCCTGTCTCTCTAAAACCGGTGAAAAAAGAAAAAGAAAATCCTTGGGTGAAAATTAAAACAATTTTTTGAATCTTTTGCAACTTGGATGTGTTTATACACTAAACTTAGTTGAACTATTTGAAAATATTTTCAGTTGCATAAGCAATGAAAGAAAAATATGAAGGTTGTTTAATTTATCTAGTTAATTATTTTTATTTTCCTAAGTGTGGCTCAAGCATTTGATCATTTAATTTTGGATTTTAAGACTTAACTATTTATAAATCCAAAAACTTTTCAATGCCTACATAACATTCCATTAAAAGCTCTGTGCTCAAACACTAGTCTACATTAACACATTGAAAAGCCTTATTGTATAAAAAACGTTATGAAAATAATAAATGATTACTTCAATCAGGTAAGCAACATCGGGGTTTATACCGTATTTTTCAGACTATCAGACACACTTTATTTCCCCCAAATTTGGGAGGAATAATGGTTGTTAATGCTGCTGTTGAGTTCTTTTTACATTAGTGAAATATTATGTTATTTATGTTATTAAATATTTTACCACATTTTTTGCTTCAAAAAATTTTCCCTATTTTCCTCTAAAACCTAGGTGTGTCTTATGGTCTGAAAAGTAGGGTAATTGAAGTTTGAGATTTCCTACTTTAATTCTGTCCTTTTGAAGTTCTTTTCTTCATGGCCAAAAACCATATATTTATAAAATGTAGTCATTGAAACTTAAAAAAAAATGGAATGATGCTAATTTAGTTATTTTGAAGTTTGTTATTTTTTCCACCTAACTTTATATTATGAACAAATCTTCATGTCACTGTATATTGTTCTAATTCATTATTTTCATTGCTGTGTGTTTTATTGTACCATTTTTATAGCCAATGGATCTCTGTATAACTTTAGAATGACTTTAAACAGTTTCTCAAAAAGTTTTCTCCAAATATTGTATTTTACCAATCATGTTATACTTTCCTGGTGGAGTACATTTTTATTGATATAGAGCAATTTTTAATGTTTCTCTATGTTATTAAAAACATAATAGCAAAAATGTTCCATTGATCCACTTATTTGTCCATTCTTTCAACAACTAGTTAGGGATCCATTAGGACTGGTTCTAGAGCTTAATGGTTCATCAATGAGCAAAATAGACAACATCCCTGGTTTCATAGATCTTACATTCTAATTGAGAGAAAGAGAGGCCAGAGACAAGTGAGACAGATGATGATGTTATCAGAAAGGGGACTAGGCAGGAACGGGTCTGCTTCGGGCCTGACACTCACTCATGTGTGGCTTCTTTGTTGAGGAAGGACTTCAGGACAGAGTCTAGGTGATTGTGAGAGAATGCTTATTAGAGCTGAGGACAGTGAGACAGGAAAGGGCTTAGGAGAGAAGAAGCAACACAAGAGCCTAGACAGAGGTGTTTCAGCTCACTGAGAAGTCAGAAGGGACCCTGAGAGTTTAAAAGGTGTGTGCCTGTCGGGAAGAAAAGGGAGAAAGGAAAGTTGCGGGCGTGCTTCCAGTAGTTAGCATTCTGGGAACCTGTGTTTTGAAGGTTTTTAGAGGCTGGAAGTTTAGGGATGGTCTTGGGGAAGGATCTCAAAGGAATAGTCATCAGCTTTTCCAGGTATGCCCTTTCAGGATCGTGGTCTCCATTGATTGGTCAGTGACAGGGCAGGGGGTCATTAGTCATTGCAGCTGGTCCTGGCGTCACCCACTTAGTTTTGCTGCTTTTCTGGACCTGGAGCTGAAGTACAACTGAGGTGGAGATGTTATTTATAGGGAGGTGATCTTCTGTATCTGGCTGTAAATTGCTCAGCCAATTTGTTCAGCTATCTGTCTCAGTTTCCCTTGTCCACCTGTCCTGGCTTACTGGTACCTCAATGACAGATGTTGTAGAAAAAAGTAGAGAAGAGCAAAAACAAAAGAAAACAAAACAAAAAAAACAGATGATGCTTGGAGGTTTGCTATTTTATATAAAGCAATCAGGGAGGGCTACAATTGATCGGGTAGCTTTTGAACAAGGTCTTCAATTTAGTACTGGGAAGAATCTAGTAAATATCAGGAGAAAATTCCCAGTTGAGAGGATAGTAAATGCAAAGGCCCTGAGGTAGGAGTGTCTTTGGTTCATGTGAGGAATAGTAAAAGGCTGGTGTGAATTCAGTAGAGAAAGGAAGAAGAGTTGGGAAAAGATGAGATTAGAGAGGCCCTTGTGAAACCCTACCCAGAGCGAGAGGGGAAGTCACTGGATAAGAATGACAGGATCTGACTCATCTTTAAAGATAGCTCCCGGCTAGCATGTGGTGAGTAGATTGTATTGGTAGAAGGGAGACTAGCTTGGAGATACTGCAGTAATCCAGGGGAGAAATGGCTGTGTCTAGAACCAGTCAGGTAACAACATGTAGTAATAAGAAGAAATGGTCAG